GCCTTTTCCCCCACTGAAAGAGTGAAAGTACTCACAGCCGCAGCTCTTCGAATGTTTTCACTGAGTAGAGTGGAGAGCTGGGGTCCTTTTGTAAGACTTCGACTCGGTGACTGGATTCTACTAAGGACTGGCGGATTAACTTGTTTAAGAGTGAGTTAGCTGCCAAGTCCACTAGGAAAGCAAGAATAAAAGAAGGGACTGCAGGGGGGAACTCAGGCTTCCTAAGTGACAACCAGTACGTTGCTCCCTCCCATTCAGCGGTGTACATGAAGCAACTGCTCCGACTCTCATCTTTCTTCTAAATAAGTTTCCAGGAAAAAAAGACACAGCACTGCGAGGTCCTTGTTCTCACGAGGACCCGGTTTCTCATGTTCTGCTGCGACACTGACCTCTAACTTCAAGCAAGGCTACATGCATCACCACCAGACCTCACTTTTCCTTGCTAGCTGACAAAATTTAACCCATTCCTACACTTTCATTTCAACTTCCTCTAAAGAAATATGCCCCATTCCTAATTCAGTATTTCTCCAGGTATTCACTACTTATAGAGAAAACAGAAGTCAAAACAGATCTCCAATTGACATTACATTATTCACATTATGAAAGTCATGATGAACTAAAACAGAATGCTAGCAGATACTTGCAAATGAATTGATCTCCTACCTACATCTACTTCATCTTCTTCTGTGTTATTAATGGAATCATCTAAAAGGATGGAAGAGAAACAATAAACACCATGATAAGTGCCGAGCAGAAATGTCAAGAATATTATCCCAATTTCTCTTGCCGATTCTACAGGGTGCACTGGCAGGAAGGGTCACCCAGAGGAGGGGTGGGTCAAGACAGTGGGAAAGTAGTGGTCTTAAATGTTAAATTAAGGGAGCCAAATATATTTCAGTTGCCAGGGACAGGAGGAAAGCAATGCTCTTTAATTGAGACCAACCTGTTTTACTCTATAGCACTTACCTAGGTTTGGGGCTGTAGTATTTTTAATACTCTGAAGGTTCTTCCGGGGGTGGATGAGGTTTGAAAACTATTGAAAGACACAAATTTCAACCAGTATTAGGAAGCAAGACTTCAAGAAGTCCAGTGCTACCCCTAACGCGCTGGAAGGAATGCAGGAAAGACCGCCCGAATACTGTTTCCTTTGCAATGTTAGGTGATTCCTTTCAGGAACAGTTGTGAATGAATTATCCTAACGCTGGAGAAGACTTTCTGCTGCCCGTGTGCGTGCAGTTCATGAGTCTCTAGTCTAAATGTGGCAGTCATGGGGTGGGGGGGTCACACACCAACAAAGGATGATGGATAGGACAGCGCGTTGGCAGATAGATGGAAGGAAGCTAGCCCGGGCTTAATGATCAAATTGGGAGACTAGAAAACTCAGGGTCTGGTTGGGACTACCAGCTGCCTTCCCTTCCAGGCCTTCCAGGTGTCTTTATTTTGCCCCTTCAAACCAAAGGTCTTGTCTCTCTCTGGGTCTCCTTTTTCGGGGCCTTCTTCCAAGTCTTTGTCACTCCACACCTCCCCTCCACCACTGGGCACCCCAGTCCCCCCGCCCACCACCTCGCCCTGCAGATTTCCCCTGGGGGTGCTGTCCTGGCGCCCGCCCCTCTGCCCTCCGGGTCAGCGGCGGTTACGTGGCTGTTCAGGTGCTCGCTCTCTGCCGCCGCGGGTTCGCCTCCCCAAAGTAACGACGCCATGGCTGCGACCGCCGCTCTGACTCCAGCACGTGCGTCCAGCGCGGGCGAGGCAGGTCGGACCCACCCAGCGGCCAATGGGCTTCCTCAGGGGGCAGGCTCACGTGCCGCGACCACGCCGCCCAGCGCAGGCGCCGGAGCTCCCGGGAGGAGGGCGGGGGGCAGGGGCAGAAGGGAGGGCTCCGGGAGGAGGGGGCGGTGTCCTGGGAGGAGGAGGGTTGTGGGCGGGTAGAGGGAGGTCCGGGGGAGGAGGAGGGGCCGCGGGAGAGCGTACCAATCAGCCAGGTTGCTGGTTGGCCAGCCCCGCACCGCGCCAGGTGTTGGAAGCCTGGGAGGGGCGCTGTCCAGGGGACACTTGCCTGCTGCTGACCTCTGATGAGGCAGTGGCAGCTGGGGACTCTGAACAGCACCAATCTTCGTATTGATTCGAGTCCTACTACCTCCCTTACCCCCCGCCCCCCACTCACTTCCCAGGTAATTCTCTAGGTAGGTAGTGAGGCTGGACCCCCGCCCCGCTTCAAGCTCTCAAGCCCACGTTTCCCCCCAAATTTCCTTTCTATGTGATTAGAAGTCAGAAAGGCTGCGAATTACTAGGAAAGTGGAGGTCAAAGTGGGTACGTTTCATCTGACAAATGAATTCGAACGCGAAGGATGCGGCGAGGAAGTCGAGTCGTTCAGGTTCTAACTTCCGTCCCTGTTCCTAAATGCCTGTGATGCCTCCACAGGCTGGCTTATTTTAATTCCAATTCTGATGTGTGCCCCTTGCTGAAGCAACCTGAAAACTGTCCCTGTGGTACACCCTCCACCTCCTACTCGCGCTGCATAGTCTGGGACAGACTCCTCCCACTACTGACTGCTGGACTTGGACAAAAGAACCAGATTTTTTTCATTTTCTCCTAACTGGAATCTTGACATTTGGATCAGTCTCTGGAAAAACCTACAAAAATCTAGTTATGCTCTCTCCGTGGTGCTGAACCCAGGCTCCCAGCTGTGAGTCGCTCGCAGGCTCCTCAATGGTTTGTTTTGAGGTTATCATAATCCTTTTCAGCTCTTTCATGTGGGTTCTAGTAATAAATGGGTTTTCCTTGTTTTGGTTTGTCTCGCAATGGTAACTTTCTACGAATTTAAATAGGCATAACATTGAACCAGGTTCTTTTAGTTTTCGTGTAGGGGTGGCAGACCTTTGAAAAGTTATTTATCTATTATTTTAGCGTACTATAATTTATCTGTTTATTGTTTTACTACACCAGGCCTTAGACGGAGAAACGGTGGCAAGAGTGGAAAACACTAGGTTGATTTCCACGTGAAGGCTGCACACCCCGCTCTTCGAACTACATTTCCCACAAAACTGGACTACAACTCCCATGAGTCCCCAAGCGCGCCCAGGAGACGCAAAGTGACAGCTTCCTGTCTCGCGAAGAGCGGCTTGGCCGACGATCGGAAAGTTAAGTGTAGGATTTCGGGGGTGGGTTGTTTTCTGGATCCTGCAAAAGGGGAACGGACGAATGGACAAATAGCTGGACGTTTCCTTTTCGGGAAAGTGTCGATATATGGGAGTGGGGTCTGTGTTTGTGTTTAGTGCTTCTTGGAGCTCCTGGCGGAAACTCGCAACAGGAGGAGCTGCTTTAATTTGATTCTTCGAGGGCCTTTGGACTGTGGCCTGAAGGCTCTCCTGCCTCGGTGAGAATTGTTTGCTCATAAAACAGAATACTAGTACAAGTCGGGATCTCTTAGGTTGTGGGGTGGGAGGAAGGCACGGCGACGTTTTTCTGATCGTTTAGTGGATTGCTTTCCTATATATTAGTGATCATAGGTTCATGTTTTCTGATCCTGTGGGTATTACCCCCTCCTCCCCGCATTGGCTTAAAACAAAATATATCAGGGGAATGTTCTTTCTGCTACTCCACTAGTTCCTAATATTTTTGAGATGAAAACTTTTTTTAAAAATGTGTGTACGGTTGCTTGGCGCATGCATGGATACCCTCTTCATGGTAATTTGGCGGCCCTCCTCCAGGTTAGAAGTCTGCTTGGGAACCACTGTATTTCCTCCTGAGAAGGTTATGGTGTGCTGGAGAAAGCACTGTACTGACTCAGGGGTCTTGGGTTCCACTCCTCCTTTTGCCACAATCTTATTACCCGGCGCTTAAACCCTTTGGTTAAGTAAGAGGGTGAACTAGATAATCACTTTGATTTATATTATTGGAGCGTTTTGCTGTAATTTACATGTAAAAATGGCATGTGGCTTTTAAGTTTTTAAAAATATACAGATTTAAAAGTCGCATGACATTTAAAAGCCACATGGTTGGTTGAGCGTTGACCCATGCACCAGGAGGTGGCACATGCTGGGGTTGTGGGCTGGATACCTGGTGGAGGGTCACGCAGGAGGCAGCCCATGGATGTTTCTCATCGTTTCTCTCTCCCTGAGATCAATAAAAACATTTTTAAAAAACATATAGATCCAAATAAAAACTACCTTCAATCCCACTACCCAGTGTTAAGCTTTGATCTTGTGCTTTGCGTGTGTGTATGCTTGTAGGACTGAATAGTTTGCAACCTATTTTACTTAATTTGCATTTTCCCATTACTTCCCATGATTCCCAGTGTCTAATGTTCTTGCTAATCACCTCACTATTGTATCGTTTGCAGTTTTTACTTATTTGTAGTTAATATATCCTACACATATTTTTGAGTCACCAATTACTTTATTTCCCTGATGAATGCCTCCAGTGGAACTGGATGAATGAATGGTGTAGCTTAAATATTATGGAGAAAATGCATTTTAGCAGATGGTCAAAGTTATTCATTTTTGTCCCACAGCTATTTTTCTTTGAACAAGCAAACAATTTCTGCTATCACTCTTCTGTCTTCATATTTTAAAATGGACGATCTTCAGTTTGTAGATGGTTCCTCATTGGAATAGAATCAAGACCAAGGAGATCCCATTTAAGGTGAGCAGAATTAGTGTTTTGGTCTATACTCAAATAGGCCAGATTCATTTTGGTATTTATGTCTGCATCTGGCTTCAGATGTTAGCAGTTTGAAGTTCTGTTGCAGAGTGGGAATAGCCTTCAAGTGACAGGCATAATTTCTAGGACAACCTTAGTGGTGAATTATAAAAAGCATGGTATTCTAGAAATAACTGGAGGGCAATATATTTAAATAATTTTGAAACAAAACTTGGGCTAGAATCCTGTAAGTCGTATAGTACTGTTGTTGAACATCTATTAAAAAGCATTTAATAGTTATCTGGATTTACTAACGAAGGCTACTGTGCTGTTGCCTTTCTTCTTTCCTTTGGGTTTATGTGCATAAAGGGCAGTTTTTGTTCCTTCCCTTTGGCTCTTGTTAGCTGACAGTGAAAGTATGATGGGAGCACAAATGAAAGGTTTGAGATCATCTTACTTTGGGAAGTATTTAAGTAAAAATAATGGCAAGTCCACAAATTTCCAAAATTCTTTAATGGATAAGCTTAACACCCAGGAACTTTAAAAACACACTAATAAAAACAGCAACTCACATTGGCCAAAGGTAAAAAATCTAGAACAGAAAACAGTGCTAGCTGACTTTGCTTACTAATCTGACAAGCAGAAAGACCAGGTGTGTTTTTCTTCCTGCGGCATGATGTCTCTTGCTTTGCTGGATTTGAGAGTTAAGTGGCATGTGATATGTACCTAGGAAAAACCAATGATGGGTGCAGTCCTTACTCTATAAAGTACCATGGGCTTTCAAGTCAGTTGTTCTATTTAAATAAAAAGAAAGATATAAGTACCAGGTTGTTATCCCAAACATCCTGGGAAAGGAGAGAACGGTTAAAAAACAAACAAAAGACCTAAGAAGGAGAAAGAGGAAAGGGAAGTTTCCTGGGCATGATGCCATTTGCAAGGTCACAACGAATACCCCAAATAAGGGCAGATCTTTTCTTCTCAGTTGGTACTAGGTAATTGTTTGGAACATATATGTGCTGAGGCTTGGATTGGGGTTCTGCTCGACAAAGCATCTGCTCTCGGACACCCCAGCGTAATTCCTTCCTATGATCTTCACCAGGTAACCGCATAGAGTCCCAGTCTCGTTTATACTCAAAATAGCGGGCTACACGGTCTATCTTGCCCCGGTTTCGGCTTAACTGGTCCAGCCTTGGAAGAATAAAGGACTTGGGTCGGCTGGCAACAATCAGGTCTTGTTCATAAGCTGGAGGGCTCATTCCTTCTCTTTGTAGATAGCAAATGGACTGATCTTGAGAAATTTCTTGGTATTCATGTGGTAGATTAAGTTTTTCTGAAATATCAACAGGGGACTCCCTGTCTTTCTGGAACTGAAGGTTCATCAACCTTTGTCTTAAGTCCCAGAGATCCATATCACTTTCTGTACCAGACTCTGATTCACTGATAACGGACTCATCTGTCACTAATACTTCCCCACCTGGCTTCCTACGCAGCACCTTTCTCTTCATCACTGGCTTTCGGAGCCTGTGGGAGGCCTCAGAGACCGATTCTGAAGTGACAGTACTTTTTGCATGTGGACACTGCAGTTGCACAGGAAGAGCATGTCGCTTTCCTGGAGTTACTGAAGCTTTGCTGTAGGGATCGTATTGGGTAGACTGGGCTTCTCTCCTGATATCTCCCTCACCCTGCCCTGCACAGATCTGGCTGAAAGCTGTAGCAGCTGCTAACATTCGTTCTTCTGGATCCATATGGGCCCATTTTTGTCCACTAGGTCCCATGAGTTCCTCCATTGCTTCCCCTACACTGTAGGATCTTCTGCAAGAGAAAATACTTATCAGTTTTCTAATAATAATTTCCCAGTCCATAAATTGTTCATTCCTTTCTTGTCTGTTCTTTTATAGCAGTAAAATGAAGAATGGCTAAGGCAATCATAACTATAATAGTTATATAATAAAATATAGATTAGTACAAGACAGTATGGGAATAGTTTGGAGGGGTATTAACTCAGTTTTGGATAATCTATTATCTGCTTTCATTTCCACTCTTACTCACTCCCACTTTCTACTGCCTGGTAGTTGTTGCCACCTTTAGTAGCTCCTAGGACAGGATAGGTGAGTTCTTGAATAAGAAAAGCTTGAGATGCCCTGGCCGGTTTGGTCAGTGGTTAGAGCGATGGCCCGCGGACCAAGGAGTCATGGGTTCAATTCCGGTCAAGGGCATGTACCTCAGTTGCGGTTTGTCCCTGGTCGGGGTTGTGCGGGAGGCAGCTAGTCCATGTGTCCCTCTCAGGTCTCTCCCTCCCACTCTATCTGAAGATAAACAGAAAAATATCCTTGGGTAAAGATTAAAAAAAAAAAGAAAAGCTTGATATGGGGCATCATGCTTAATGTACATTATATAATTTGTGCATAGAGGAACACTTTATGTACCCAGCATTGTTTTATGGTGCTTTACATTCATTAATTCATGTAATCTTCACAACCGAATGATAGGTACTCTGATTATCTTTTCATGAGTCATACAAAGATGAAATAACTCACCCCAAGGTTACAAAGCTAGTAAGTTGCATAGAGTTCCAATGTATAGATTTACTATAATTTTTCAGCTAGATCATGATTGATTGATTTTAGGCTTACAGTCTTTTGTTGTTAAAAAAAAAAAAAAATGAATGTTACAGTGAGTGTCTTAGAAATTTCTACATATTGTGGCAAGCGTATGTGTAGATTAGATTTCTTGAAGTGGAATAGCTGGGCCGAATGTGTGCTCAGTTTTGATAGCTGGGACCAAATGCCCTCTGAAGAAGCTGCACTGATTGTGTTACAGAGACGGTTTCTCCATCCCTCTTCCAAAGTGGGGTGCTATCAAACTTCCCAGTCTTTGCAGTTAGTTTGGTTAAAAAAAAAAAAAAAAAAAAAGGTTCTCATATAAACTGGCATTTATTTAAACTGAATAAAACTGAGCATCTTCTCCTACATTTATAAGCTTTTTCCTCCTACTCTTTGTGTAAAATGCTTGTTCCTTTCCCACTTACCACTCAGGTTGTTGGGCTTTTTATATTGATATTTATATTAAAACTGATTCATATATTCATGAAATACTTATATATTAAGGAAGTTAGCCTTTTTACCATTGTTAATATTTTATTCTGACTTTATTTTTTTGCTGGCAGAAACTTTTATTTTTAGGTAATCATGCTTTTGGTTTTCTACAGTTTTTGGGTTTCTGCAGTGTTTTACTTAGAAAATGTCTTTCCCACTCCAAGATTTGAAGAAAATTCTTTCATGTTTGCTTCTAGTACTTTTACAGTTTTATGACTTAAATTTAAATAAAAGTTTACCTTTTTATTTAAATTTCTGTATCATAGATATAGAAACTCAAATGGGCAACAAACTAAAGATAACAATAGTCAGCCTTAGAACAGATGTGGAGATAATTTTCTGTTACTAAAGTCAAAGGTTGTCTAGTACAATTTTGACCATTTTTAAGGATGTAATACAGTTGTAACTCAGACTAAAATATTCCTGGAATTTCAACATTGACATCTAAATTACATTATCCAAAATAACTTCTCTAACTGCTAGAGGTAGAGACCTTTTTCCAGAACATGTATTAAATTTGACTTTAAAAAAGGATCAAAATGCTTAATTACCTTTTTTCTGCCATCAAAATTGCTTAAAGTGGGAAAATCTTAACTCCAGGTTCTACTTCCAATATAATGTACAATCATTGACAAATTTCTTCAATCAGGCTAGCTTCTATTGTACCACCTTTAAGACAGAACTGAGTATTAGATGATAGAATATTCAAGCCACTAGTTTTCTCTGAGATATTGGAAAGCAACAGATATTCTTACAGTAAATGTATATCAACAGATTTAAAAAAAAATTTTTTTTTTAATTCATGGAAGGAGGGAGAGAGAAAGAAAGAGAGAGAGAGAGAAAGAGAGGGAGAGAGAGAGAGAGAGAGAGAGAGAGAGAGAGAGAGAAACATTTGATTGGTTGCCCTGGCTGGGAATTGAACCCACAACCTGGGTATGTGCCCTGAAAGGGAACAGAACCTGCCACAATTTTGTTGTACAGGATGACGCTTCAACCAACTGAGCCACACCGGCCAGAGCCACATCAACAGATCTTGATTGGAAAGACTGAACAAATGTAATGAGAAGTCAAAAGGAAATGTTTTAGGGCAAGAATGTCAATATCAGTCCTTAATCATCTCAGCTAATGAACAAATAAAGATATGAAATCTATAATAATTTCCCCTAAATTCTGACTATTTAAACCTCAACGATGCTAGCTGAATATTTTCTATACTACTTTCCTTTTCCCCTGTGAATTGGCCACAAAGGATGTGGATGGTCAACCCATAACAATTAAGGTAATGCTTATATCCCTGGGCAGAAACAAAAGTCTGCTGAAGGCATTAAATTAAATCCTGGATACTCTTTGAAGATAATGGAAAGCTACTTACATGACTATAGGAACCAGAACTGAAATTAATGTATCCTTTTACTCTCTTTTCAGGTAGTGTGGACCCTTAGGATTCATTTATTCCTGGAGTTATCTTATCATGGCTGAAAATGACACAGACAGAATCCAGACAGACAGACTCCTAAAAAGAGTACAAGAACTGGAACAGGAGGTACAAAGACTTAAAAAAGAACAGGCCAACACTAAGGACTCAAATGCTAGAGAAAATTCTTCAGGAGCTGGAAAAGCTAAGCGTGCATTTGATTTCAGTGCTCATGGTCGAAGACATGTAGCCCTAAAGATAGCCTATTTGGGCTGGGGATACCAGGGCTTTGCCAGTCAAGAAAACACAAATAATACAATTGAAGAGAAACTGTTTGAGGCTCTAACCAAAACTCGACTAGTAGAAAGCAGACAGACATCCAACTATCACCGGTGTGGGCGAACAGACAAAGGAGTTAGTGCCTTTGGACAGGTAAGGGCCAATAAACTGTTTCTCAAAGAAGCAATACCAATATATTCTGGGTGTACATAGTGAGAATGCAGATTATTTGCATCTCTAATACAGTATCTTTCTCTTAATTCCACAGGTGATATCTCTTGACCTTCGTTCTCACTTTCCAAAGGGCAGGGATTCAGAAGATTTTAATTTAAAAGATGAATTCAATGATGCTGCTAAAGAAATCCGTTATACTCACATTCTCAATCGGGTGCTCCCTCCAGACATCCGTGTATTGGCCTGGGCCCCTGTAGAACCTAGCTTCAGTGCTAGGTTCAGCTGTCTTGAGCGGACTTACCGCTATTTTTTCCCTCGTGCTGATTTAGACATTGTAACCATGAACTGTGCAGCTCAGAAGTATGTCGGCACACATGATTTTAGGAACTTATGTAAAATGGATGTAGCCAATGGAGTGATTAACTTTCAGAGAACTATTCTGTCTGCTCAAGTACAGCTAGTGGGCCAGAGCCTGGCTGAGGAGAGATGGCAAGAACCTTTCCAGTTATGTCAGTTTGAAGTGATTGGCCAGGCGTTCCTTTATCATCAAGTCCGCTGTATGATGGCTATCCTTTTTCTGATTGGCCAAGGAATGGAGAAGCCAGAGATTATCGATGAGCTGCTAAACATAGAGAAAAATCCCCAGAAACCTCAATACAGGTAAATTAATTATATATATATATATATATATATATATATTGTTCTTAAATTTTAAAATATATTCCAATATACCTTTCTCTCCCCACAACTGTCTTAATAAACCTCTTCATGAAGCTTTTCGTCTAACTTGTAGAATGTTATGAACATGAAGGAGGGAGCAGTTAACTTTGAATTTTCTTCTCTTATACTTTAAGAAATAGGTGTTTGGACCAGGCCCCTTAAATAAAAGCACATTCATTTCTATGTTGTTTTCTGCATTGAATTTATGTTAAGAGGTATTGTTAGGTTCTGCCAAAGTTAAATAGTGAGCATTCAAACTATTCGTATTAAATCTTGCTTTATATTATGTAGTCATACTATTATACTTTGGAATTTTTCCTAATTTTCAGTTTCTGAAATGGTAAGAAAGGTAAGAAAAACAGTCAACTTTTCCTTTTGAGAGCAGGCTGAGGTCAGATAGACCAATAATTCATTCCTAAATAATAAAATCTATGAGTAAGTTTTTACTTCATACTACACAAAAGTGACAAGTTTGGGAAACCACCACCAGCTGCTTTTTATTTTATAGCCATATGGTGGAGCCAAGTGAACTCACTTCTAGGTGACTTGTTACCATTGAAATTAACCCCAGTATAGATCAAGCCTAACCAAGTTGATCCAAGGTTTGTCGTCTTTTTTTTTATAATGTTGTACACGGTTAGGGATAGTGTATTTTCTTAACTATTAGATACTTAATACTGACAAAGTTTTTCCCCTCCTTTCAACTCAACTAATCCTGTTTTTCAAAAACTGTTGGATGGCTGCTGTATATTCTCATAAACTGTTTTGTCTCTTTCTCTCTAGTATGGCTGTTGAATTTCCTCTAGTTCTATATGACTGTAAGTTTGAAAATATCAAGTGGCTCTATGACCGGGAGGTTCAGGAGTTTAATATTACCCACCTACAACAACAATGGGCTAATCAAGCTGTTAAGACTCACATGTTGTATAGCATGCTGCAAGGACTCAACTCTGTTGCAGTACCCTGTGGGACAGGTATGACAGAGAAATCCATGGGTAAAATTATTTACCAGAACCAAAGTTATACAGGGTTATGGGAAGGGGGGGGTAGTGTAGATTTATATAAAGTTTGGAGGTGCTTCCATTGTGGTAAAGTAACCATGTAATGACTGACTGTGCACATTATATAGGAACAAAGATGGATGGAGTGATCGAATGGAGACATGTTAAGCCCTCTGTCATAAAGCAGACCAGTGCCTTTGTAGAAGGAGTGAAAATGCGCACATATAAGCCTCTAATGGATCGTCCTAAATGCCAAGGATTGGAATCCCGGATCCAGCACTGTGTACGTAGAGGACGCATCGAGGACCCACGTTTATTCAATGAGACAGAAACAAAAGCCAAAGGGGAATGTAATGACACAGTAGAGGAAGAAAACGCTATTTTAGAGAAACCAACAAAGAGAATCTGTGTTGATACAGAAATTAAAAGCATCATTTAACCACAGACAATCTACCAGGTTCTAGGAGGCAGCAACTAGCTGATGGTCAGTGGGTAGAAAAAAAATACAGTAAGTCCTAGAATTCAGATGATTAGCTCTTAAAAATACAGAAAACCAAAGAGATCATAGGCCCTGTTTAAGGAAGTTCTTGCTTGAACAGGAGATCAAACATTCCCTCATTCCTGTCCAAAAGGATTAAGAGATAGAAGCAGCAAAAAGCAGATGTAAAAATGGAGATGTAGTTACTTACACCTGGAAACCTGTGCCTTGTGTTAAAATTTATTAAAACCTGATTCTACAAGTGTCTAATTTGTTGTGCTATTGTTTTTAAAAGTAAATGAGATGTTCACTACCCATCTGAATTCACATAAGGAGCAGGCCTGCGTGTCTTATTTTCTAGGACAAATAAAAAAAATGAAATTTAGCCAGTTAAATATTTAATAAATTGGTATAGTGCCAGGCGCAGTACTACCTGACTGACCTAATTGAATGAAACACAGTATCTCTTACAACACTTATCAGTCTAGTGCTGTGTGAGCCAAAAAGGCTCTCTGCTGTATATTCTATTTTTTTCCTCCCAATCTTTTACACATATGGAAAACACGGCCCACAGGCCGTAAAGAAACAGGCCATGCAGCTTACCAACCCCTGGCCTACTGGTTTAAGGAAAGCCCTTACAGAGACATTCAAGCTAAATCTTGTAGAATAAGCGGGACAGCTGAAGTGGAGACATAGCAGCTTTAATGCGTCTAAGGCAGAGATGCAGTTTGTATAAAGAGTTAAAGATGACCACATTTGCATTCAGATAACTGTAAATACAGTAGTATGGTTTGAGAGTGACAAGAGGCACAGTCTAGAAAAGTAAGCAAGGGTCATGTCTGTAAAGCCTTGTAGGCGTTCCTAAAAAAGTCTTAGATTTTTATCGAGGCACCACTGGGAAAAAAAAGTTAAAAGTCAGAATTGTGTAGCACAGACATTGCTCTGTGTATACTGTGGACTGGAAGAGGGCAAGACAGTGGGACCAACTAGGAGGCTGTTGGAATAATCAAGGAAACTGGGCCTCGACCAGATTTGTAGTAAGGGACTGAATAGAGAAGTACATGAATTTGAGATTCAGAAAGGAGAAGAAACAGGACTTTGGGTGAATGAATGTGAGGTTCAAAAATAGGGAGGACTTCAGAACTCCCAGCTTTCAGATTGAAAGTACATCTGAGACACACTGAAACATGAAAATGAGGCGCGGCTTTGCTTGTTCTCAAACTTGACAATTAATCCTCAAAATATTACTTATAAACACCAATATTTATTCAAAAAGAGTTCAATGTTGTAAATAATGCGCTGTCTCTTATAGCAATTAAGATAATAAACATCAAGTAAATGAACTCAGACTTTCTGTCTCAGTAATAACAATTTTCATCATTGCAGAGTATATTACTTATCCACAATTATGATTATACTGTATGTTTATGAGATCCAAAGTTTTATTTACCAACCAACAAATACTTTGTTCCTATGTTGAAAATTCCAGATATAAAAATAGGCTCTATATCCTCACATTGGTAGCTAAAACATGACTAACATATGGGGCAATTAGAAACATATAAATAGTAAACATGCCTTGTAAGTGCTACACAAACCTAGTAGTGGGTAAGCTACAGATATACAAGACTTCACTGCAAGAGTCTTGGGTTTAAAAAGTAAAACAGTATAAGAAAAGTGAAGCACCCTTGTATTACTGAGGAGTAAGACAGAATAACTTTTACATTCTAGCACAGTAAGAACCAGAAAAGATTCCCATTTTAGAGATGGGAAGATAGTGGTACAAAATAACTAAGATTTATTTAAGTAACCAACCCACCAGATCTCCTGGGTTTTAAATCTTGTCATCAATTTTTCGGTCCTGATCTGCCAACATTTCATAATGCCCTGAGTGTTCTTAAAATACTGCTTTCTCCTTTCATTTCGATGTAAAGATTCTTTTGTTTTCAGAGCTATCACTGAGCACTGTAGAATATCCTCACCTAAACGTGTAAGGACAAACTAAAGCATTTTATTTTCTCAGCTTCCTACTTTATTTCAATGTACCTTCACTGGCACAAGTTTTTGAATTAAAGAAAAACCTAGAAAAGAACAGACTGAAGAAATAACTCTTCCAATCAGTTTTGGAGGCTGCCAGAAACATACAGGGAGGAATTGAGTTGTGTGGCTTCATGAGGGCTGGAGGGACAGCTGCCATTTTCCCTGTGTCGAGCCCTCCCCCCACATGGCCAAACCTGATTCTGCATTGACCTGGTGAACTCCACTAGCTCTACTCTAAAGACTCTCTAGACTCCACCCCACACCTAAAATTTGCAGGCCCCAGGCAGGTGGTGGCTGGCTACAGTGCACCCTGGGACTTTTGCTCAGTGGTCTCAGGCTCAGCACTGGTACCAGATCTAAATCTGTATCAACCTGGTATACACCACTTGCTCCACCCTGGTGACGCTCTCAAACCCTGTGCCTCACACAACTCACGTAATGCCTGAAGTTCTTTCAGTGGCTGAGCCTAGTAATCAACTGGCAGGGGCAGCAGGTGTCAGAGTGCCTTGGGACTTTTGATGACCTGCCCCCAGGCCCTGAACTGGTGGCAGCCAGCCTCAGTTCACAGCATGACTTCTTCCACCGACATCTAGGCATAATACAGGCAGCTACCAACTGTGATCACTTTGTAGCTTCTAACAGGGACCCCTGAACTGGTCACAGGCAGTGTCTGATATTGACCTGCACCACAGACCCCTCCAAGAGGCCCCAGAACCAACACACTCAGTGGTCAAATGCAGATACAACAAAGCTCCACCAGATTAGCTCCACAGGTGGCACATACAAAGGGTAGTCTTGGCAGGCACCAGACCCTGCTAGAGTGAATCCTACTCCATGGGGTCAACCCTTGCACAGCAGCTTGTACACTATGGCCTGGCCAATCCTTACAGCCAGTCAACCTGAGGGTCAATCCCCCCCCCCCCACTGTAGTGCCAACAGAAATCAGGTCTCAGCTACAACAGGAGAGCAAACACAACCCACACAAGGGACACTGCTGGAGCACCCAACTCAGGTGATCAAGAAGACTGCACCACTGGCCCCCACAAGATACCACCCTGCCAAGACTGGGAGATGTAGCACATCTACCTAATACATAGTAACAACACAGACAGGCAGCCAAAATGGGGAGACAGAAACATGGCCCAAATAAAAACGACAGAAGAAATCTTCAGAAAAAGAACTAAATGAATGTATCTACCAGCTACAGAGTTCAAACAATGGTTATGAGGATGCTCAATAAACTTAGGGCAGACTTCAATGAAGATAAAAAAAAAAAAAAAAGACACAGAAACCATAAAAAATAAACAGTCAGAAATGAAGACAAACATAACAGAAATGAATACACCAGAAGGAATCAATAGCAGATTAGATGAAGGAGAGGATCAAATCAGTGACTTAGAAGACAAGGGAGTGAGAACACCCATTCAAAATAGAAAAAAGAAGTCAGGATAGTTTAAGGGAACTCTGGGACAGCATGAAGCATAACATCCACATCATAGAGGTACCAGAAAATGAGAGAGAGAGCAAGAGATTGAAAATCTATTTGAAGAAATAATGACTAAAAACTTCCCTAACCTGATGAAGGAAAAAAGACATAGAAGTCCGGGAAGCACAGAGAATCCCAAACAAGATTAATCCAAAGTGGCCCACACCAATACACATCATAATTAAAATGCTAAAGGTCAATTAAAGAAAAAGAGAGAATCTTAAAAGCAGTAAGAGAAAAGCAGTTAGTTACCTACAAGGTAGATCCCATTAGGGGTGGTCTGCTGATTTCTCAAAGAAATATATCACAAAGTATTCAGAGTGATGAAAAGCAAGGACCTACAACCAATACTACTCTACCCAAGAAGGCTATCATTTAAAATTAAAAGAGGTATAAAGAACTTCCCAGACAAGAAAAAGCTAAAGGAAGTCATCACTACCAAATCGGTATTATAAGAAATGTTAAAGGGACTTCTTCAAGGAGAGAGAGAATAAATATGAATAATAAAACAGCAAAAACTATGTACCTATCAATAATTACTTTAAATGTAATTAGATTACTCCAATCAAAAGACAGCGTAGGTAACCTGATGGCTAACAAAACAACACTCACACATATGCAGTCTACAAGAGACCTACCTCTGAATGAAAGGCACACACAGACTTAAAGGGATGGAAAAGATATTTCATGCAAGTGAAAACTTTTTAAAAAAACACACACAGCCCTGGCCAGTTTGGCTCAGCAGTTAGAGTGTTGGCCTGCGGACTGGAGAGTCCCGGGTTCAGTTCCCACAGAGAGAACGTACCTCGGTTGCAGTTTGTCCCCAGCCCTGGTTGGGGTCACGTGGGTGGCGATCACTCGGTGTGTCTCTCTCACATCGATGTTTCTCTCTCTCTCTTTCCCCCGACCCCCACTCTATCTGAAGATAAATGCAAAAATGTCCTTGGGTAAGGATTTAAAAAAAAAAAAAGCTCATACAGCAATACTTATATCTGGAAAAATAGAGTTTAAAACAAAGGCTGGCCCTGGTCGGTTTGGCTCAGCAGTTGGAGCATCGGCTTGCGGTCCAGAGAGACCTCGGTTCAGTTCCCGCTAAGGGCACGTACCTCGGTTGCAGTTTGTCCCCAGCCCTGGTTGGGTCGTGCAGGTGGCAACCACTCGATGTGTTGTCCCTTTCAGGTCAATGTTTCTCTCTCTCTCTCTCTCCCTCCCACTCTATCTGAACAAAAAATGGAAAAACGTCCTCGGGTGAGGATAAAACAAAAAAACAAAACACAAAGGCTGTACTATGAGACAAAGGAAAATTACATGATGATAAAGGGATCAATCCAACAAGAGGATATAACCTTTATAAACATTTATGCACCCAACATAGGAACACGTAAATATATAAAGCAAATACTGACAGACATAAAGAGAGCAATCAACAGGAATGCAGTCATAGTAGGGAACTTTAATACCCCTTTGACAATAATGGACAGATCTTCCAGACAGAAAAATCAACAAAAAAACAGTGGCTTTATACATTAGACAAGATGGACTTAACTGATAATTTTAGAGCATTTCACCCAAAAGCAGCAAAATATACATTCTTTTCAAGTGCACATGGAACATTTTCCAGGATAGAGTTCAGGTTAGGCCACAAGCCAAGTCTCAGAAAATTTAAGAAGACTGAAATTATATCAAGCATCTTCTCTGATCACAATGACATAAAACCAGAAATCAATTACAGACAGAA